GGTGAAGAAGGGAGTTGTAAGAAAGCTTTCGTGAAAGGGGAGGGGTCGTAAAAATTTTGGAAAAAGTCTCAACGATAGGACCGACCCTGGTGAGGGGAAGGGTTCCTTTTTGAAGCATCAAGACTTATTTCGAAACTACCTCCGCACTGCGCTGGAGGTTAGTAATTAAACTGACCTTTGACTGTAAGCTCTCCAACGTCCTTCAGATCGTCGAACGTATGCAGGAGGTCCTGAAAAGATGACTTACACTGACCAGATTGTCACTTACTCTGTTGAATACAACAACTTACATATTTTTCAACGGTAGAATTTCGGACGTCGTTGTGATTAAATTCCGTTAAATCGACAACGGTGTCCTTTGAATGGCTGCCGGAGACGGTGATCAGCAGCAGCAGTGCACTTGACGTGTCCTCCAAATTGTACCATTTTTGAATCGTCTGGTCCCGTGGGAACGTATGCAGATCAACTGCAAACCTAGAGAAAATCGGCACCTGTACGTGTTTGGGCTAAGGTGTTAATCTACGAGGCTGATTAGATCTACACTGCGTTATCGACACAGATACCTTCCGATGGAGGTGTTAGTACGTTTATCCTGACACATAACTTCCAGAGTTTCCGACCCGAGTTCATAGATATGCAAATCAAATTGTTCGATCCATTTAGGGTCACTTGTTCGCGTACAGATCTGAAAATCACGTCATTAGAGCGTGCTTTAGTGAAGCGTCAAATTTCCCTTCCATTTTCCCATATCCTAACCCGTTGTGTGCTTCTCCAAGGAACTATTATTGATTTTACGCGCATGAAACCAAGGTAGATTTTTGAATTTTTCACATACAGTGAGCGCCTATTCCGAGCCGTGCAAGCTCAATGATGATACCCGATGGCAAAGTCTTCCACAACTATGTAGTCAAACACGTATTACCCAGAGACGAGAGTTATGGTCATACGAATCCGCACAGCAACTCGCGCGATAACTCAACTTTGTCGCGCGCGGCATTTTCACTATGAGACAGGTGCAGAGTTCGCGATTACAGACGCAATCTAAGTTGCGAGAGGGGCGGGGTGCGTCCTGGTGCGATGCCAGAATCCCGAATAGGGCGGGCGCGGCGGTGCATACCATCTGATTAACAACGACAGCCCTACCGGCCCCCTCGAGGCTGCGATCGCGAAGCAGTCGCGATGTCTGACGCCACAACAATCGTATAGGATCGCGAGAAAAGGCAGCTGCCCACTCGGGCTGCGGACGATATTGGATAGTGCCCCCGGCACGCTCCGTAATCAGATCAGTTTATAGGGTGTATTCGTCGTTGCTTGATCCGCTGAGTGACAGTCAGACTGTAAGAGAACTTCGTCGCGACTAGAGCTCGCGTGATCGAATCTATTTTTGGCGCCACCGCGGCTGAGCATATTTCGTTTATATGCGTCGCTTCTACCCACAGTAACGATGATATGTATCCGGTTTAACTTTATAACACGAGCGACATGATCGGGAGAGAAGAAAAGACCCTGAACTTCGAACACCCGTGAAGCCAACGACAGGAAACAACCACTAGTAGGACTGACGGTGAGCGAAAGACGGCGAGAATAAATAGAAAATAGAAATAGCTAATACATAATCGCAGCAATTAAAAGTGCCTACTTGGGTAGAAGCGTTAGCTGGACTCCTACTGGGAAGTTAGGTGATTCCTGGCTCAAGACTGAACTGAAGAAATTCATAAAAAGGCTTTTATCTCGTTCAGCTGAATGACCCACCTTGCTCTTGTACTTTTCACAGCCTAACTTGAATTTGCAGTACGGGTCGGGTGGTGTGACCGAGACGGAGAGGTTCAGATTTCTACCCTCAACCAGCACCACATTCACCACAGAGGTCCACGTCTGCACCACTGAAATGTTCACTGTTAATTAACATATTTTCAAGAAAAATTCAAAAGCAAACCAATTAGGAAGGTATAGCGAAGAACGTAAGAAAAGCAGCCATAGCATTTTCCGAAGCGATAGAATATTTTATCAGTTTCATTGCGTTTCCAGTGCTGCTCATAATGTTCAAATTTTCATTGGTTGTGTTGGCTCATGAGCAGAAAACGCTACCTTGGATTCCAGTGCCTTGATGGTGCCACAACAAGTGCACCTGCGCGTGTTTGGCGCTTGAAGCGCGAGGGTCAGCGCCGCTGTCGGCGGAAATCCAAGTTTTTATGATCCTCCCTTGTGGAATCCTCCCATAAGGCCAATAGCAGTGCGTTTTTCTTTGTGAGAAACAACCGACCTGAACCAACAGCCAGTTTCAACTGCTCGTTAGACAGAGTCCAACAGGGGAGGAAGTCAACCGATGGCCAACACCGGCAATACGAGCTCACCCACGCCAACCAAGACTATCACTCTTGAGTAATCAAATACTTTATAAATAAAAACTCGCCTAAAGGGACAAAGCACCAATTTGGATGTTAGGAATTTTCTCCTAGGCCCTTGGTATAGGCCATATATGCATCCAATTAGCTCTACGATTCTGAACAGAAGTTGAACGCGTGGCGCATGCGCAGTTGATAGACCAGTTTTGATCATTCCGTCCTTTCCATTTATTTTTCAATGTAAGGTCGATCAGTTGGTAGTAGATTGAAAAGTAGAGATCGAACTTGCAGTCGACTCCTTTTAGAGGACGGCTCTTCCGACCCCACATCATACCAACTTTGCAACATATGACAGTTGAACTCAGGCCCATGTTCACATGATAGTAACTCAATCCCATCGTAGAAATTATGAACCTACTGTGACCATCTTGCTGGAGAGTTTCTTAAAAGACGAATTTGGAACGAAAAATATTGAAATATGGAAAAAATGAATGAAAAATTGTGAGGGAATAAAAAATCAAAATCATTTACGTTTCTCGCGTTTCTTCACCACTTCTGAGAGAACGCCACGTACAGAGCGATGAACGAACTGAAAATCGATTTTTTCTGAGAGCATGAGTGGTCGCAATAATTATCAATAAACACGTACATATTGGAGGGTAGGGGGGCGTATTGGAGGTTGAGAGGGAGAAGTAAAAATTTGTCGAAATGGACAAGGATATGTAGAATTTGCTGTATGAAGAGCTATCTGTTACGAAAAGCTATCAATTCTGAAGTGGCTGCAAGGGCAGAGTTTGGAAACATCAAGTGATCAACTTGATCAGTAGTAGCTACCAAGATGGGCTCCCAGTGAGGGAGACGGAAGGATAGAGGGAAGGGACGGCGCGAGGGAGTGGAGGGGGCTGGTTGGAGGAAGGAGAACAGCAAGACAGCATGCAAAAGTTTGGGATCAAGCTTGAACGAGCTTCGTAACCGTTTGATCCCGGTTGTTCCGGTCCTAATCTCGGCCTGAGGCTTTGCCCCATAACGCCGCTAGCGTCACACTGCAGCTGCAAGCGCTCTGCGTGTGTTGTCGTCATGCCATCCTCCATCTCCTACAGGAACGGCGCAGAATAATTGGTCTGACATATTCATAGATCTTCGAGTTACAAAGAAAACGACAAATGACGCGTGACATTGCGCGTTCCAGTGCTAGTGTCCTGACGCTGGGAGGGTTACGGTATAATCACTCTATATTCCTAAACATTTAACCAACTACCTCCCCTACCTTACCCACCCTCTTGAGGCAGAAAAAATACGAAGCAAATGCGTGTTCTGACCTCGTCTCTTTCATCGGTCGTCAGTGGTACTACGGATATAGTGAGCGCGATTCGGCCAAGTTCCTCATTCGGTGATGCGTCATCGGATAAATCAACGACACTCTCAAACGACCTGGAAATATGTAGAGCGTGTATTTGACACAACATGAAGGTCATATTCTTCTTTTTAGAACATGGGACAAAAATTAGTAGTGGATCACACCTTCCTACAAATTCACTCTACTCCGCCATTTTCTATCGTAAAATCTTTTCACCAGTAAGCTCTCTCGCCACGCGGGTCTTCCGATTCGAGTGGATCCTCAAACGTAGATATAATATTTATTGTAGACAGCCACAGTAGGAGGGGAAGAAAGAACGACTGAATCTATGGAAATCTGTCCTGCTTATATTCAGTGGATAATGGGCGGAGCAAGCTATATGTATACATTCCTCAATACTGATCAGCCAACAGATAATAATTTCTTCAAGTTACAGAATGAATCACAGTACAAAGTACACTAAAAAGACACCAATAAGTAAGGAAATCGGCCATGATAATAATACAATCACACCAAATAATCTCAGATCATAGAGAGTAGTCTCTGTATCACCAGTAAACGTGCTCAGGAGGCAAGAAGCACAGCAGTGGATGGTGCGGCTTGAGAGCAGTTCTAACGAAATTTTTGGAACGCATCAAAAGAAGGCGGCAATCTGGTTTGTCGTTCCTGGGATGCGTTACGTATGCGAACTTCATTCAGTCGTGGAGGAACATTTTCGTGAGCTAGTCTAGCTCAAAGATGCCGCATGAGATCCCCCTCCCCCACTCTCCCCGCTCCACCAACTGAGTTAGCACCGGATATTCTTTACTGTTTCGTCAAGAAAAGATGGAGCTGAATGCAAAATGCCTATCCAAATGAAGCGCATTCAAGCCGGTATCAAATTTTTCGAATCCCAGCGAATTGCAAAGTTGACAGCAGTCTCAATCCAGTGACAAATGATTGATTTTGCGCGCGTCTAATCGATATCTATTCCCACGCATTATATCGATATCTATTTCCATATCTATTTAGAGTGGTCAGTTGAAATGTATTATATTGAAGCAGTAGTAAGGCAACTTATTAAAAAAACGTACTGGAACCATTTCACTTGACTGATGTCTATACTGCACGAGCCCATAAAATCATCCGTGCAGAAACGATCGTAATCGAAAACCTCAAAATCATTGATATATCAGGAGGGTGAGCAAAAATACAATATAAACGATAGAAAAGGGACGAATATGGTTAGCGCAAATAGATTATTTCCTACTGCGCCACGCATCCAGCTTCGCTTAGTAATCCATGATGATTAAGTGGGTGTTGATTCCTCTCATCCGCAGTACCACCTTGTCCTTTCTTAGAAGAGGATTCCACGACAGGGACGAAGAATGGGAATTCACCTAGTTAGGAGACAGCGGACCTGCGCGGGCTGGTGCAACTCGCATCGGAGGATATGCCCATGGCGATCTGTACTATTGCTTTCTCCGACCCAATTGGTGCGCTGTTGACGAGGCACATCCACTCGCGTCATCTGGTGTCTGGATCTCTTAGCCATTCAGCACAGAAGAGAGCGTGAGCGTTGAAGAGGGCAGCACCGATGAGAGTCGCATCAATGCGCAAATCAGCGAGCAAACAAGGGGTCCCACTTGGGTTTTAATCTATTTCTCTCGTGTTTTTCTTCTTTCCTGCATCACCAACCATCTCTAACTTAATTTCCAATGAACTGCCTTTTCATCGTAAAATCCGCCCTTGACCGCTACAATTTCGTCAGAACTTGGTCCCGTTGTTCTGACCTATCTGCTGAATTCTCGGGCATTTACTTCCCGCCGACTTTTCAGCTAGTTTTTGACTCTTCCACCTGTCATCATCTTTCTATAGACCACATACATTCGCTCGGCCACATCGCCAATGACATACATTGGGGAAAAACAAGCGGAAAACACTGAAAATACCTCGATTATAATCGGTGATGTCATGTCATCGGCAAGCATCTGAAATTCCTCGTCCCATATCGGATTCAGATTCTTGAATATTGTACTACTCTTATAGACAATGCGGTCCTTATATTTGAATTTTACATAAGGATCGCTGCTACCTAAAAAAGACACAAATTAATGTATTAGGTTGTCTCATAAGTAGTGTCGCTTTTTTTCAACCAAAAAATTTTCATCTAAATCCTCCATGCTTTTACATCATGTCATATACCATTCGAAAGAGAATTGTCTGCTCTACAAGATGCTATGTTTTCTTCCACCTTGTTCCAGGGTTTTCAAATTTTAGGCCTGCGAAATGGGAGGTCCAGCCGACAAAAATTGACCAAACCGACAACTAGCTCTAACTTCCCTTGGGAGAAATCAATCAATGATGTACCCTCTACTTACTCATGACCTCTTCTGAACATTCCACCTCTTAGGTTGCCGAAAAAGCTTTGCCGTGTTTCTTTTCGAATTGGCTGACCGATAAGCCATAGCAATTTTCAAATTGAAATTCTTCCTCTGAAACGCCATTGTTTTATATCGAGTGGTGTATCTTTTGAGAGATCGCTTTCGGGGGAGGGCTTTTGGGGTCTGCTCAGCAACCAGCGCACCTTTCGCCGTGGAAGCGCACACATCGCTTCCTTGGCAGCCAAGTAACTGCTTCATGTGATGCATATGCTTCCCCAATGCGCTCCTTTTTTATCGTAATCGCTTACTTCAAGTACAAGATCAAATATCGCCTAGACTGTGAACTGACCTGATGCGTCACGTATAGCTAAATTTTGTCCATCTTTCAAGCGGATCTTCACCAACAGAGCCACGTATCTGACTTCATCATTCTCAGTCAAGTCACCAAGCTAAAGTTCAGATAATCAGTCCACTAAATGAGAATAACTAATAATAAAAAAGAATAAAAGTAAAAAAGAATAATATTGTAATCATGATCGTAAGAACAAGAAAAGGAGAAAAATTGGTAGAAGGGGAGGAAAAAATTTATTGGTTCAGACTTCGAATGAGTGATAATCGTTGCAACAAGTGCAATCATTATTCAACAAAAAAATATGCTATATAATTATAATTAATGCATGATTAAATAATTAATTTTTTTATTTATTGAATTTATATATTTTAATTTATTTTTGTGATTTTATTCATTACATTACTTATTTTTATGATTTATTTATATTTATATTTTATATATTTATACTGATTAAACTGTAACTGATTATCATATGTTATGTTCAATTACAGGTTAACACATTGGGGACGGTGTGACGCGCATGCGCGTCAAATTTTCGCTCGGATGAGACGCCTTTTGCTCGATTTATTTGGCACTTTCCACGTTCCAATACTGTCTGCATACATCATCTAATACGGAAAACAATGTAACAACAAGGGTCAACCGTCGCGTTCGCACTTTTTCATGAAATTTGCGACCCCCTTCTACCATCAGTTATAGAAGGCTCCCACAATAGGACCCGTTTAACCTTTCAGGACTGCCACCCTCGCGATCATGGCTGTTTATATAGTACTTGCATCTGATACCAGTCGACACAGCACAGCCTCACTCCGCCCACTTTTCCCTCAAAACGACCGACCGTCGAGCGGGGCGGGGAGTGGGAGGCGGCGGGGGGGGTGATTTAGCACCATGAAGCGGCAATCCTACAACTCATGGAATTTTCATCAATTTGTCAAAAACCCCTCTGAATGGCAACCCCTTTTGACACCTCCGTTCGCACAGATCATTAACCTCAACCCCAAATTCGACCCCTCTTTTTTCCCCGAAATCACAAATGCGCCCCCTCGTTCGAATAGTGCAAACGGACGGTTGACCCTTGTTCAAACTGCAACAAACAATTATTCTGCATATATGAAGTTTCAGAGCTTTTACCCCTTATCCCTATGAAATCCGAGTTCCCCTTCCAAATTCCCAGTTCTCTAACGTTTAAAAGTGCGTTATATTCGGTATATTGCTGAAGTCAAAAATTTAATAGAAAACTGCTTAGGGAAAATTTCGTGCGATGTTGAGCGAGATTTGGGCACCCCAAAGATGGTCTCATGAGCCCACTATCTGAAATCCACATCGAGAGACGAGAAAGGGCAACCGTGTTTCTTTTCCCCTTCCCCAACTCTTTTAGTTCCTTCCAAGTTCCATTATATCGATTAAATTTAATTTTCATCTAGATGCTTGATGGATAAGTTTCTTTTATAGTCGAAATTCATGCAATTGAACAGTGATGACGTCACCATTGCCGTATCGGAATAATGCCGCTTCTTAGGCGTCGGAAGGTCGTGATTCCGAACCTCCTGAATGACTGCAATTCGCAACTGATGATAGAAAGACTAAAGTCTCGCAGCCTACCTCCACAATAAGCGGTTTCCCTTCAGATGATGATCGGTTCACGAACCGTCTAAGAGACATTGCGAGGTCTCAGAGTCCTGCTTATTCTTTCTTCAGTAATGAAAGTAAAGGTCAAATAGTTCAGCAAATGTGAAGGACGGGTTACAATCGGTTTTCAGGGTGCGAAATTCAGAAAAAAATTGAACGCGAACAAGCAAAAACAAGACGATGAGAAGGAGCTGAATAGGAAATGATGCTTTTAATGGTGCGACACACAAAACGCTTTTCCTGGGCGGTGCCAAACGCCCAGAAGCATTTGCATATTAATGAATAAAAGAAGCGGTGGTCACCTGACATTCCTTTCCTCGGTATTTATGAAGAGCTACAATGAGATCGAGTTGGTTCCAGTCGCCACAACTTTGCAGATCGAGGACTTTTACGCTAGGCGCTCTATGAAGCGCATTCAAAAACAAGCCTCAGGAAGTTGCTGAGTGAAAGCATTCAATAATAGGAATAGCGGTTCCAAAAGGACCGTCACTTAGGAAAAATGAGGAGAATTTGTCGCGAACGCAGAAAACTACAGGCCTATTAGTTCCAGTATGCGGAGGAGAGTAAGGGTTGGACAGCGAGATGAGAGACAATGTGGGCCGAGGAAATCAAGAAATGCTCCGGGACGGGTAAGCATGGAGGTCGGCGATGAGAATGCAAATAGTACTGCCACGATGGGCGGATGGGCCAACAAGGCGTACAGATTGGCGTTTGGTTCCTGATAACGTCCTTATTAGAACACCTACTTATAATGACGCCTTCTACCGCATTGTCTTCCCTCTTTCCAAATGCGCGACATCTCGCCATGGGTGGGGCAGGGTCAAGCGTGCGTTGAGGAATCCTCGACACGTCGCAGGGGGGGGGGTCGTATTGGCCCGCTGGGTGGAAGAGATCGAGCCATTTTGATGCAGTGGGATCATCACCGTCGGAAGACAAATATCAAGGATGAGTCGATGCCAGGCCAGAGGATTTCCAATGAAAATGATATTTCACCCACACAAAATTTTCGTGATTCTGAGGCGTCCGGTAATTCTTAGTTACTTCAGTGTTTTATCACCACACAAGTTAAAGAATCTGAATTTCGCACGCTTTCCAAGAGATATTTCATCTTTCAAGTAAGACCCCGAATCTGAAGGGATGTGAGGTACACGGCGCATCCGAGAAAGGGTCTAGTTGTTGCGCGCGCTTCAACTACGGCTCCTTGGACAAACAACCTCAATTCAGGAACAATCGAGAGAATTCTGAAAGTGTCCGTGCGCATTTACAGGGAGGTGTACACCATTCAACATTGCGTTAACGGACTCTTCAGGGTTAAATTTATAAACATGTAACCTTTAAAGTTGAGAAACGCTAATCAATCACTTTTCTTAGAAAGAGAAAAGCAGTGATTCCAAATCTGCTCTTACTTTAGTACATAATCGCCCTTAAAAGGATATACAGCCGTTGAAATAGTGCAATGTAGCGAAAAAGTACCTTTCGGCGGTACTCGTGCGAAAATCCTCAACGTAGCCGTTTTTTTAATACTGGACGTTTGGAGCAGTTCTAGTAGCATTTGATAGAGCAAATCTTCTAGTTTATGATGGCGTATTTACTTTTCGGATTGGATGAGTTTGAACGGAGTTATGGCTTTAGGAAGTAAAAAAACTCGCACTCATCACAAATTTTCCTCGTTAATTTTGCAAAATCCTCAACGTGGCCATTTTTTGAATACTGGACGTATGAAGCTGCTTTAGCGACCGTTTGATAGAGAAATCTTCTAGTTTTGTATGACGTATCAACTTTTTGAATTTGACGGAAATGAAGCAAGTTATTGCTCCGGAAAGTGTAAAAACTCGTGCTCGTCTCGAATTTTCCTCGTTATTTGATCTAAATTTGTTATTTCTTATAACTTTTGTAATTTCAGTACTGATTAGAAAAAGCTCTTCACAAAACTCCCAAATCTGCTTTCAGATTGAAAATTCGTCATATTTGAAGAAAGTTATAATCATTTGAATATTTGTTCAAATTTCAATAGTAAATAAGCTGCTCCACGGTCAACGCCAAAGTCCAGTCAACACACAGCTGGCGAAGGCTTTTACAAGGCTTCCTTTGAGCGAAAGGGGGACGTGTAAATTGAGAACCATAATCTGTGTAGTACTAGAATTTGGTAAGTCTTGTGGAGGAAATAAATAAAGAAGAGATGTTGTCATAGTATGCCATTTTTAGTGGCTAGTTTGTCGTTTTCTGGTCTGTTTCTCGTTTGCTCGTTTGGTAGGACTCATCAATAATGATTATTCTTTGACTTTTTCACTTTTGTACTTCTTAAACGAATTTTTTTGTGGGCGGTGGGGTAGCAGGGCTTTTTTATGAGCAGTTTTGGGGGAGAATTAAACAAGCTTTTCAACCTTTTCATAGTTCGGCTTTTGAAGAGGGTTGTTTCATGGACTTCGGCCTCCGGCGGAGGGTGGTGGGGGGGGTCGGGGTCGTATTTTCCAAATTTTCCGCGCAACGCACTCGTTGGACCCTGTGCCGGCTTTGATTGCGAGCTGAAAGGCAGAGCCAGTTACTACAGTTCCGAACTATGCTAACGACTCGGAGTGCGTGTATTCGAACGCTCGCCCGCGTCGACGGTAGCCTCGTCCTGCTTGGTACCCGAGAGCTCCGTCTCTGAAAACTGTTAGAACGGGGGGGGGGTACATATAAGTGTATGAATATAATATGTATATTGGTACCTTTTCCCTATTACTGCCCATGAGAACATTTTTTCGAAAATTCGTCCCCGAAAATGGAGCTGGCTAGAAATTTACTCACTAGGGTAGTTTGACCCAGGAAAACACGAATTTCAGGCATTTTTTGGAACGAAAGCACCTCGCGCAGTTATCTGATAGAGTTGGAGTTGAGGTCAACCGTGCGTAATGCAGATTCCAAAATTTTAGGTCCCTTCTCCTCAAAGAGGCTCTCGACACGACCCCTTACCACCACCATCAGCCTTAGAAGAATCCCGCAATACGGGCCCCCTTCCCATTCCCGACCACCGGCCTCGCCATCGTGACTGTTTCTATAGTATTAGTATTTTTTCGAATTCCCATGAAATTTTGGGAAACTCGCCCGAACGGACCCCCACTTCTGCATAATAGCCCATCTAACTCTCCAAAATACGACCAATTTTTTAAGCTTTTGACCACCACCAACCCCTCATACGACCCCCTCTGAAGGAACACGAATACGTCCTCGTTGAGAACTGTGCAATGCACGACTGACAATGGTTGGACCACCATATTTGCCGAATACTTTCCCCATACGTAGTAGTTTGATTAAGAGAACATAAGAGAACACGGGTATCGAACACTTGGAGGGGGGAAGCTTTCGGAGCCGATGCGCCAGCGACATGTTGTCACTGTCACCAATATGGCCCCACCACTCTATACCAAAATTCGAAGTCCGACCCCCGCCGTTGGGAGTTTCACAACAGACGGTCCGCTAGGGGAGCATGCTTTCGAAGAAAAATAACCGTGAGAACGTTCGTCCAGCGATTAACGACCGTTCACACGAAGAAATGGCAGCGGAAATCTGTAGTCATAAGGAATAGAGGTTGTAACGTCGTTAAGCGTGTATATCGATGCAAGCTCGTACATATGTGCAGCACTCATCCATCTGGTTTGACGGCGAAGAAAAGTCGTTTGATGAATCAACGCTGACATCTTCTGCGATACAAGTCTGTGAGGTGATTGCAGCCGAGAATTAGATTGTCCGTATGAGAAAGAGCCCACAGGATTCTTGATGGATTGCACGTGCTTCCTCGTAAGGGAGAACCAACCAGTCAAATATGGGAGAAGGTCGATACATTCGTCAGCTGCTGAAGTTGGCCCGTCACTCAAGGACACATTCAGGGGTTGAGTGGGCAGGGCTATCGCGCCAAAAGTGAACACACTTTTGGAGGGTCGCCCACTGATGGTGAAACATGACAAACTACTAAAAGCTCCCAAAAAACATAGCTGCTGATGGTGGGTGGGGTTTGAGCTGAGCTGCGAGTCTCACTTGGTTATCCCTTGTTATGTCTTATATTAGGGTGGTAAAAAAGTCCTGAGCCGTTTGACACTTTTTTGTTCTTTGCTTTTTTATTCACGTACAATGGAATCTACTCAACAATATAATCACCATTGTTACTCACTACAGAGTCCCACCTAATGGGCAGGTCAGCGACCTTCCTTCTCCCAGAACTGAGCAGACTGAGAGTCAAAGAAATCGCTGACCGCTCTTTCAACTTCTTCAACTTTGGTGAATTTTTTCTTCGCTAGGGATGCCTTAAGGGGATGAAGTAAGTGATAATCAGAGAGGGCAATGTAAGGGGAATAGGGTGGGATGGGGAACCGCGTCCCAGATCAGCTCTTCCAATTCTGCACGGGTCTCTTTAGCTTTGTGGGGCCTGGCGTCATCGTGGAGTAGGTGGACAGAAGTTCGTCTCGGTCGTTTTTCTTGAACAGCGTCCGCTAGTTTCTAGAGCAGACTGGCGTAAATGCTGCCGGTAGCGGTATGTCTTTACGGGAGCATATCATAGTACAGCATTCCTCACGAATCCCAGAGGTAGCAAAGGAGACAGCTTTTGGGGTGAAGGTCCGATTTTGCTTGTGTCGGCAGGCCCTCTCTTCGAGGGAGCCACACGGCACCGTGCTTGTTAGAATCGTATAGGACCCCACTCTCATCTCTCGTAATCACGCCTTCCAAAAACCCTTTCGGTGCGGGCAAAGAAGGAGAAACTGACAAATGGGTACCCGCCTGAACCGCGTGCTATCGGTCAAGACATGAGGAATCCATCGAGTCACCACTTTCCTGTGGCGAGGTCGTGAAGGGGACCGAGGACTGTGGGATGGGTGCACCCGAGTCTTATCACAAGGCTGCGGGTGCTAACGTCCGGATCCTCTTCGACAGCGCCGAGAACGGTGGAGTCTTCCACCTTTTGTGGGCTTCCCAACCTTGTCTTTTCTTTGAAAGCCGTGTCTCCTCCTTCGAAGCCTGCGAACCAGAGCTTGGCACTGATGATGGAAGTGGTGTCC